GAACTTGTAAACTGGACACACCGGGGAAGAAAGAACCTCAACTGAAGAATGGCCTCCATCAGCTTGGCCTGTGGGCATGTCTGTGGGGGCATTTTCCTGATTGCTAGTTGATGGAGGAGGGCCTAGCCCACTGTGGGCAACAGCGTCCCTCTGCAGGTGAGACTGGGCTGGATCAGAAAAACAAGCATGAGCCTGGGTGTAAGCCAGTAAGCAGTGCTCCTCCACCGTGTCTGCTTCAGTTCCTGCCTACCTTGAGTTCCTGCCCTGAATTCACTCAGTGATGGACTATGACCTGGAACAGTAAGCCAAGCAAACCCTGTCCTCCCCCAAGTTGCTTCTGGTCATGGTGTTGATCATAGCAGCAGAAAGCAGACTCAGGTGAGTACATGCAAGCCCATTCCCTGTGTTCTGTCTGTTCTTGTTATGATCCTGTCCTTACTTCCAGAGAAACCAACAAGCCAGACAGGAAGCCTGGTTGGCTTGGTTGGCGTTCCTAAGTGCCAGCTCCCAGATCAGTACCATCTCTTCTTGATGTCACACAGACACTTCACACACAGGTTTCACAACCCAGTTGTTGTCTTCTGCCATGTCGGCTTTTCCTCTTCTAGTCCCTATGCAGATAGGGCTACCACAGTCCTCTTGGTCACCCAGTCCCATAGCCTGCTGGATTTCTCCCCTATTCAGCAAGGACATGAACATTAGATCATGGTCCTAGTTAAGAATATTGAATTGGGGGGCGGTGGTGGCACACGCCTTTAATCCCAGCACTCAGGAGGCAGAGGCAGGCCAATCTCTGTGAGTTCGAGGCCAGCTGGTCTACCGAGCGAGTTCCAGGACAGGCACCAAAACTACACAGAGAAACCCTGTCTCAAAAAAAAACAAAAAATAACAAAAAACAAACAAACAAAGAAAACCACTTTGGGCAGTTGGTGGTGCACACCTTTAGATCTCTGTGAGTTCGAGGCCAGCCTGGTCTACAGAGTGAGTTCCAGGATAGCCAGGACTATTTCACAGAGAAACTTTGTCTTGAAAAACCAAAAAGAACATTGAGTTGGGGGCCAGTAAGATGGCTCAGCAGGTAAAGGCATTTGCCAAGAAGCCTGATGACATGATTTCCATTCATAAGACCCATATGGTAGAAGAGGCCCGGCTTCCACAAGTTGTCCTCACACGTGTATACACATACACAGAAAACAAACATTAACAAACAATTTTTTAACATCATCAACAACAATGAAAGAATGCTGAATTGGAAAAGCTGATGTTTTAATGCAGTTATCATCCCAATTCTAATAGGATTTTCTAGGTAAATTAATGAGCTGTTTCTAATATGTTTGAAAGTATAAAATGGATACATTTTGAACAAATTGTAGAGAATTGTCTTGCTCCTCTGTTTATTTATTTCACTACAAATTAGAATATGACATCTGACATGGATCCCCAAATCGGCAGACTGAAATAGGAACACAGCGAGGTAGATGGGCAAATCCTTTATGTCAGTATTGGCCCTTGTCTTGGCGACAAGGCCAGTTATTATTTATTCCCTTTCAAATATAGCTGAGTTATTTCCTAGGTACTTGAAAATGTTCAAGAATGTATTGAGAAGCTGATCACGGTGGCACACACCTGTAATCCCAGCATTTTAGAGGCTGAAGCAGGAGGATCATTGATTATAGGCCAGCTTGGGCTACAAAGTAAGACTCTATCTCAAAAAAAAAAAAATTAGAATTCTTGTCTTTTTGTCCAATCAGTGTTGTTTTTCATGTGTGAACTCCCTATTGGCCCAAACTATAAAAGGTACACTACATACATTTTTATTTCATTTATGTTTTATTTTTAACTCTTTTTTTTTTTTTAATTAAGTAAACCTTTATGTCAAAACATATACTTGTCAGCAAACCCAGGCAGGCTTTGAAGTGCCTTACTCTTACACTTACCGGTTCAGTTCAGCCAGTAAGTATTTCTTGAATAAATGATTTTTAAGCTGTTAAACAACTGTGCCACAGAGAGAAGGTTCCAGAAGGGCAGGCACCAGGGTCATGCTACAGGCTTCCCTTTGCCCTGCTTTCTACACCATTTTTCACCAGTGATTCGGTGAGTCTGTTTACATCACAATTGCTATTTTGTGGATGGCGACAGCCTGGGAGGAATAAATAGATGAACTTGCAGGCACAAGAATGAATGCTCCCACAGTCTGACAGCTGAAGGGAGGGAGGAGGAGGAGGAGGAGAAAGAAAGGAAGGAGGGGGAGGAAGGGGAGGAGGAGCAGAAGCAGCAGCAGTGGCTGAGTTTCGGAAGGTGAATTTTCATACAGGCTAACATGAAAAGCATGAATCCACCCCATCCCCCATCCCTCCTCCATACACAGCTGACAGAGGCAGACTTTTGAGAACAGACTTCAGAAACAGCACAGGGTGGCCATCTCCAAACTCTAATTTGGGGAGACTTTTATACGTAGAGTATTCTCCACATATCTTGAAAATGACAAAGTTATGCCATTCCAAACTGAATAACAATCTTCAGGGCTCCATGGGCTCCGCTTCGCCTGGATTAAAATTGCCCCCATGTGGCCGCCCTCTCTGAATTTCCATGGAATCGGCTGGGCTGTGTCCTCTTCTTCTTGAGCAAAAATACAATCATGTGCCACTGAACAGCGAGCTCTGTGAATCATGAGAAAATGAAATTTACAGAAGCATGTAAGGACTCGACCAGAGGTAGAACCAGCCAGGCGCTTGGCAGCCAACCTTCCCCATGACTAGGAGACTGGCATGGCTGTGGCTAAATGTAGGTGAGTAGTCAGAGCACTTGTTCTGTGTGCACACTCAAAAGAGTCTTCTAGAAGGTTCTCAAATATCGAGACATACTAAATAGGAATTGTCCCCACACGTAAGTTCTCCATGAGCACCTTTTCCAACCCTGTGTCAGCACAGGGCATGATGGTTAGAAATAGGGCAGAAGGCGTCCCAGCGAGAGGAGCCAGACAGATGCCCTTCGCACAGCTTGGAACAAGTCTGCCTCCCTCACCTTTCTGTCTCAGTCTCTCTCTCCCTTTCTGTGCGTGTTTCACTCTATCAACACCAGGACACCTACAGAAGTAATGTCAACAAATTAAACCCCAGACTCCTTTGAAAACAAGTTCAAGCAACCAATCACTGGTAAGGTTTTTACAATATACCATGGCCATTATTCATAAGTGATGACAAGCCCAAAAATGTGGCCTCTTTAAACACGTAGGTACCAGTCTACAAACCTCACACGACTATACTACTTCCTATAAAGATGTCCACACACAAACAAATCCCCTTCTGGTCCATGGAGGATGCTAGAGGGAGGCACCCCTCAATTAGGCTTTGGTAAATTAAATGCAAATACACAACAAGGTTTCGAAACGAGTGCCACGGATTTCGGGGATCCGTTTGGCATACTAGACATACTAATTGACTAGCTTCAACTTGATTTTTAGAAATCAAAGCAAAGGCTGACTGACTGGTATGTTCATATCATAAAATGCCAACGGCACCGCATGCCACAGGTAATTAACGTTAGGATGGGAAGCAGAGCTAGGGAGCAAAATTTTCCACCTGACTTTCTCCCTTAATGAAGAAGCACACGTCCAAGCCGCTTACATACAGCTCAGCATCCGCTGCCGTCTACTTCCTCCTTGACTCAGCCATCCTTCCGTGGGCTGCCTGACCAAAGCCTCCAACAAGCTGCCTGCCATTTGGGATCGACTAGACCAGGAGACCTGGCGGGAAGAGACGGTGTGCTCCACGGGGATCCTCAGCCCTGTCCCTCTACTTGGTCATCTTAAGCTTTTCCTGTTCCTGCCAACCCCGTTCCACCCTGGGAAAGAAGCCTTTCCCATAACTTTCGATCCAAAACCAAAAGGAAGTCCTTAGAGAATGAGTACTTATGGTGCCCATCAGAAACACCTTGGTTCAATATTAAACATACTTGCTCTTAAGATTCCTTCAGGCACTCGATGCCCAGGAATCTCACTCACTGCCTTTCCTTTGTGGGGCCCAGTATGGCCTTCTCCCAGCTCTTGGCCTCCAGTGAGTCCTCGGATGGCCTAGTGCAGTCAGATCAGCACAGCACTCAGAAGAACAATGTACATCTTCGGTCAACAAGATTCACCTCTCCTGGGACCCCGTTACAGTTGGTTCGGGTCATGTCCCTCTTTTGAATGGGAGCCGTTTTTGTCAATGCAGTTTGGGGGCAGGATTTGCGAATATAGGGAAATGGTTCCTGATCCCTCTGCATGGCCATTACTTGTTTAGAATGCAAAATTCAGATGTCCCAATACTCAATGCTTATTAAGCCAAGCAGCTCTTCCTGTGGCTGTGGCTGTTCAGTACTGAGAGGACCACTGTATAAACAGCCGTGGGATCCCAACTGCTCCTAAGTAATTCTGACCTGTCCTTCTGCATGTCGAGCCAGGCTGGCACCGCTATCTGGAGCTATCTGAAATGCTATGGAGCATGTCAGCAAGTCAGCAGTCACCCGAACGTGAGCGAGTTGTTGAGAACAAGAGCATTTTATGCCAACTTCCAAGCGAGCGGTTAGCAAATGAGCGCGAGCCCAACTGCTTCTCCTCCAGCTTGCTGGCTTTCTACCGAGGTTCCGAGCATTGACTTGTTTATAGATTTTGTGTTGACAAGCTGATTTTATACTTTGTAGCCATGTAGTAAATTCTGCCTCTAGAGGAGAGGAGAGGCTCTTCATTCTGAACATTGCTTATCTTACAGATACTGGTATCTGAGTCCCAAATATGAAATGAATTTACAATGTGTTTTTGAGATGCACTGTTAGTCTGTTAGTTGGTTTGGGGCAAGATCACTTTAAAAAAAAAAAAAAAAAAAGGAAGGAAGGAAGAAGTATTTTGCTAAAGAGGAAAATCGTTCCCAGGATCACTTCTTTTCCCCACATTTCCTGACAAATGCCAGGAAGATTCTGGCAGGCTAAACCCAGGTTTCTGTCAAAGGGCGTCTCTTCCTCACCAAACTGCTCAGTCCTGGATTAGAGATGCCCCGGAGTACACGATGATTGTGAGGATCCAGTCCATCAGCCTCTGAGTCACCAATCATCTATATCCACCATCTGTAATTAGAGTATAATGGAAGATATTAGCTTAAGAGAGAAGCTATGACCCGCCCACAAAGGGATATACATTGTAGTAAATATAAGATGCGCTAAAGTCAGAAACACAGGAATCCACTGTGGCATTTCAGATAGAAAACAGATGCTAAAATTTTATTACTTGGACTATTGGGTTTATGCCTACTAAATTAATTACCCTAAATTGTGTGTTTTTATTCCTAGGAAATCGGGCTTTTGAATAGAAAATATGTGTATACATCTTAATATTAATTAAAATGTTCTTTTTTTTCTTAGTTACTTTAATTCAGAATTGTGTCTGTTTTCAATTTCCTTTAATGGTTGATATACTTCTATTTAATTAAATCAAATATGTTATTAGCGGGATATAAATACAAGCACTTTTTATACAAGCAACCTGCCAGTGTGGTGCACGTAGCTAAACCTGAACCTCAAATACTTTGCAAATCAACTGGCTTACAGTTAGTATGCTGTATTTTTCCATCACAGACAAAAGCAGTTTTGGACTATCTTATAAATTCAGAGTCCAGGGAATTCCAATGAGAGGATGTCACTGACCTCGAGTACAAATAGTCACTGGCGGATTTTATAGTACGATACTGTGAAAGCTGCAAAGCGTTCATTCTCAGACTCTGTCGGGAAACCTGCTAAATCAACAAAAGGATGAGGTAGAGAGTGGGCTGAGAAAGCAGAACTCTACAGCGTGTCTCCTAAAACAGGAAGGGTGCTCCATAACTCCGGAGATTACAAGGGAGCCTGTCCACTTGACATTTGTCCAGCAAGGCAGCATCTCCCATGAATTACTGTCCCCTGTACCATTTAAGGGACCAAACACAAAGTTACCTTGTAGCTCACTAGCTTTTGTTCAATTTGTTATTGTTTGTGTGAGGGGTTGGGGGTTTCATTTTGTTTTGTTTTTTTTTTCCACGATTGTATCATTTAAGTCAACTAAATTTTTCCAAAGCATGAAGCTGCATTAAAAAAAAAATCAGAGTTCAGCTGGCTACTACATATACTGGAATGTGGACAAATGTTGACTCTTCAAAGGGGCTAGGCCATGGGAGAAAAAGATTGCTCAAACCACGCTATGTGTGTTTACACCCACGGCCTTCTGAAATCTCCTGATATTTGTCAGAAACACAGTTTCAATTAGAGAGAACAGAAGGAAATCAGCTTCAGTTTGCTAACTGACCCGAGGCATCTAATTTATGTACTTGTTCATTTGTTAAAACACGCAAGCGGAGAGCTATTGGAGGCCATATGCCATTCGTTATGAAAAGCACATTCCTTTAGTCTTTGTAACAAAAACCATATGGATTTCTGCAAGTTAATTAAATCATAAATGTGCTGTAATAGTTGGGGGGGGGGCTAAGGTCTACAGTAATTGGAAGAAACGTCAAGACTTCTTTTTAACTAGGGTTTGCTTGTTGTACCTCAGTTTCCCGACGTTTAAAGTAAAGATAATAACATGATTCCTAAATGTTATCAAAATGCCTTCCTACTTTGAGATAAAACAGCATTACCAACTGTAATCGGGTCAATATATAAATATTGAAAGAGTGAAAGCTTTTTCTTAATATTAACTGACTAGTTAATCAAAGCCATCTCTCTCTCCCATAGCTCTGTCCCACCTCTGCCAGAGTCAACTTTCCAGAACACTAATCAGATTGTTTAACTGTTGCTAAATGGTATTTACAAAGGAGCACTTCCCAGCCTGCTCCAGCCTCCTCTCCAGTGCAGAGATGTGCACACCAGGTCCCTGTGTATTCTCAAAGACTGCACTCTCCTGCCTACATGTCCTGGACCACCCCCATCTTCCCGGCAGATGGCCAGGCCTTTCTCAGGACCCCCATAGCCCTCTGCTCTGAGCTCTAGTAGCACTCGCTTGGTACCTTTTAATTACTTACACTGGGCAATAACTATGTAAACCCCTCCCTCAAATACAGGCTCCTGAAGAGAAAGGTCTGTGGCCTATAAAGTAGGCAGTGATCAGTAAATACTATTTATGACCCATCTTTAAAAGTCAGGAGTAACAATTCGCCCCCAGGGATCTCATTTTTAACTAGTTTCCACATCCCTGTCAACCAATCAAGTCTCTAGCTGTAATTTTTTTTTTTTTTTTTAGTAGCCGGAAAATGATCCCAAGAGACCTGTAATGTTCTTAACTATCAGAGAAACTTTTCCACTGTCCTATCCTTTTGATACAAAAAAAAAGAAAGAAAGAAAGAAAGAATTTTAGAAAGTTTTCCATCAAGAACTCAAGCTAGTCCTCTGGTTAAACCTCAGCTAACCGAAAAATTAAATAAATGAAAGTCTTCGTTCTTGGAGCATCACAGTCTTATGGAGCCTTGCAGAATGGAGGCAGCCTGCCCAGGAGACAACCAGGCCTCCACCTTGACCCACCAGCTGGGGTGAATGCCACAACAATTATTACTAAAAACGCCGCATATCAAAATCCCACCTGGAGATTTAGAACAGCACTCTATTGACATACTTTGATTTTGTTGTTGTTTGATTGAATGATCAATCGACTGGTTGATTTATACCTTATTGGAGACAGAAAAACCTCTCTCTGATTACAGGGAATTTAGATGTTGTGAAAAAAACAAATGTCTAAGGCATCCTCTTTCCGTGATGAAGCCATGTTCCCGTGAGCCAAGCACAGCAGGAAAGTGGGACATTTGAGATGTGCCCTTGGGACTTAGAGAAACTCAGAGGAAGTCTGAAGGTCCAAGAGGACAGAGGGTGACCACAGAGCCCGACTTAGAAATGCTTCAGAAGCACTGTTGGAGGGAAAGGGCTTTAGGGGCTCGATTCAGGAGTAGCTAAGGCATCCATTTGCCGACTTGGTGAATATTCGGCAAGAAGCCGTATTCACTTCTTATCGCCATTACTGATACCAGCCCTCCGCTGTTCAAGACCAAGAAGGTTGTGAAGAGAGAGGAGGAAGAGGGATGAGAGGGGACTGGGGTAGAAGATGACAAAAGCACATACTATGTATGTGTGAAGATGATAAAAATGAAACCCATGTTTTACAATTAGGAAGCATTTATTTTTAAAAAACAACCATCTGCCTGAGGGTCAGTACACTTTAATTTGATCAGAACTCCGGGAAATGTCATAACAATCCAGCCTGTGAGAGGAGGGCTTGGGTCGCAGGTGTCTCTGGATATCCACGTCTCTTCCAGAAGAGCACACACCAACTGCCTGTTTCTCTTTTTGCATTCATAGATTCCTGAGCCACAGAACAAGAAAGGAAAAGGCTACGGAGAGAAGCAAGGTGGCATTTTAAAGATGCATATTGTGTGCATGCATGTGCTCTGTATGTGTGTGTATGTGAAGGCGCGTGTGCGTGCATGAGCAAGCGAGTGTGTATGGGAATATGCGTGTGCCTTATGTGTGCATGTGTGTTCAACACAATGCTTCTGTGAGCTGAATCATCTGCCTCCACATCACCATATGGAATGTTGAGATTACAGATTTCAGCCACCACATAATATTTTTATTCTTTAAGTCCCTTTTTGTTTTATGGAAACACATCCAAAGTAGGACTCACAGGATTTGAGCCCTTGCTCAAGCCCATCTCTTGGCTGGGTTAATGGTTTTTACCTCGATTTTTCCATCCACCAGCTTCTTTCTTAGTAAACATGCTGAGTGTAAATTAGACTATTAACTACGTGCACGCTTCTTTTGTGGCTAGCACCTAAACACGATGACTTTCAGAGAATCATTATGACCAAGCCATGCATTCATCCATTCATTTAACAACTATATTTGAACAGGTACTACGTATCAGACGTTGGTCAACAGAATTTATTGCTGGACAAAACTCAATCCTCCTGCCTGTGACTTTAAAGGCCAATAATGAAGACAAGAACTGATCATATAATCACACAGGGAGAGAATTACAAATTGGCATATTTAGAATTGTAGCATTTTGCCGTCATGGTCCAGAAAAGGCCATGTTTTCACTATTAGATGTCCTCCTTCGTTCCCTACTTGGTATGTCAGTTCCCTTTAAGCAATGACAGATTCTAAAAGGACGGTTTCCCAACACAGTGTGCCACTTGTCACTTTCAGCTTTAGATAAGGAGTAGACTTGAGATTTCCAGATGTCACTGAGTCTGCACTGGGTGAGACAGAAGAAATGTTGGCACACATTTAAAAGCAGAGAAGCAAGGCCAGGATTAACAACTTTCCCCGGAAGAACCTTGGGCCAGTTTACTGGCAACATTGTATGTCGAGCCTGGAGCACACATGTTAAGCGAAACAAGCCAGAAACCAGTATCACATGAAATCCAAAACACAAGACTCACAGAGACCATGAGCGGAATGGTGGCTACCGGGGCTGGGGGAGGGCGAGGAACGGAGAATTGGGAGAATAATGCGATGTGGTCAAACAGGAAACATTCTCCGGCAAGAGGAATAATTTCAAGAGATCTCTTGTTGTCCTGGTTGGGCTTTGCATGGGGTTTGTTCCTTTGTTTGGGTTGTTGTTGGCTGCTTTGGTTTGCTTTGTTTGTAAACGTGGCATAAGCTAAAGTTATCGGTGAAGAGGAACCTCAGCGGAGAACAACGCCTTCATCGGGAGCCTTCATCGGGAGGCCTGTCGGCAAGTCAGGAGGGTATCTTCTTGATTAATGATTGATGGGGGAGGGTCCAGCATACTGCGGGCCGTGCCACCCCTGAGCAGGTGGTCCTGGGTTAGTATAAGGAAGTAGGCTGGGCGAGTCACGGTGAGCAAGCCAGTAACCTGCTACATGGCCTCTGCTCCGAATTCCTGTATGACAGGCTACACCTGTAAGCTGAAATAAACCCTTTCTTCCTCTAGCTGCTTTTGGTTATGGTGTTTTATCACAACGATGAAAAGTCACTAGAACCATGGTGACTATGATTAATAGCAATGTTTCCATTAGGTGTGAGTGTAGGTTTTTTTCAATGTTCTACCACTAAATACGTGTAAAGTAATATATATGCTAATTAGCTCAGTTTAGCCATTTCACAGTGTGCATCTTAAAACCTCATGTTCTACACCATAAATGCAACCTAAGTTTTTGCAAATAAACACGTCCTTCATCTGGGGTGACAGTAGCAGCTGGCTTGTCACCTTTACTCTGTGCCACAGGACTCTTTTATAGCACTTTATAAATGCTGACTCATTTAATCATTGCATTAGCTCTCAAGAGAGGTGATCATAGTGGTGCTATTCCCATTCTACAGATGAGAAAATTAAGGTGCAAAGGGAATACTCACAGGCAGCAAGAAGAGCCAGGATTCCAGGCCTGCAGTGCTCTCACAACCTGTGTGGTGCTGCTCAGCATCACTTGGGGCATCTGCTGGAACATGTCAAAAACTGTAAAGGTTTTGCTGTTGCTTGTCTCAATAACTCAATCTGTTCTCCCAGTGACATTATCCTTTTCCATATCTAAATAATAACTTCTACTTGATAAGTCCTGGTGGGAGTCCCAATCACAGCAAAACAAAATGTTTGATTTTTTTCAATGGGAAATGTGGTGTACTGGGTTTTTCTAAGGTGATTTTATAACTACTTTCTAAAAAGACGAGGCTCAACCCCATCAGGTTTGAGAGAGACATCTAGTTCCTTTATCATCACACGGGGGAACTGATTAGAGGTTTGATAAAAAGCTCTGCCCTGCAAGAAATGACTCTGCCTAACACTGAAGTCAGTTGAACTCCGAAGGTGGAAACCCCAGTCTGAACTGGCTGTGTCCCATGGACTCTCAAGGCCACACCCTGTCATTTCCGGCCTGCCTCTTTCCTGGCTTCAGTCAGGCCAGATTTCAAGAGTGGACGAAGAGAACACAGGCAAGGGAGACATGTTTGGGCAGGTTGACATGCGGAGGGTGCCTTTGGCCATTTTTATGGTGTCAAGCTTTCCTTCTCTTGGGCTAAAGATTAAGCAACCATCATAAATAACATTCCCCAATTGATTTAAGAATTCATACAGAAAGGTTTTTTTTTTTAAGTAGTAATTCTTAAAATAAATATCAGAAGGCTGTACTGAAATAAAGAATTCCTACACAGGCTAGTTTCGTAGCTGAGTGGAAGAACCTTTGCCTAGCAGGTAAAGAGACCTGGGGTTTGGTTTCTAGGAACGGCTCCCTCCTTCCCCTGCCACACATCCTACATAAACAACTATTGACTGACAGACGCAATACAGCTTATAGGACAGTACGGTCCAGGAGAGGTAGCACACACCTTTAATCCCAGCACTTGGGAGTTAGAGGCAGAAGAATCTCAAGTTCAAAGTTATTGTCAGCCACGTAACAAGTTCAAGACCAGCCTGGGCTATAGGAGACCCTGTCGGGGTTGGGGATTTAGCTCAGTGGTAGAGTGCTTGCCTAGCAAGCGCAAGGCCCTGGGTTCGATCCTCAGCTCAAAAAAAAAAAAAAAAAAAAAAAAAAGGAGACCCTGTCTAAAAACACAGAGATCTCTGGGGCAACTGCTAACAGGTGTGCTAGAGAACAAGAATTTTACCACGAGGCTGAAAATGGAGATGATGGACAACTGTGTGACTGGACTAGAAATCCTGGATGGAATTTTTAAAAATACTTTTTCCCTTATGAGATACAGTCTTTGGGCCATGCAATACATGCATGCAGTCTTGTGAATAATCTTCACTTTGGAAATAAGAAAAACAGCTTAGCTCTAAAATGGCAAGCCTTAACTTTAAAGAAAAGAGTATACTTGAGCATGTGGTTTGACAGTCAGTCTGATTTGAATCTCCCAAACTTGGCATGAAAAATGTTAGCTGTAAGCAAGTGTGTCTCTCTCCAGAAGAACCATCAAGTTGAACAACAGCGATTAGCTGACAAAGACAAGGCCAAAATTCCACAGCCCACCAACTATCATATTAAAACTAAGAGCATTTATGCAGGGCACGTGACACCAAGGCCCCCTCACCACGCCCTTCATGTCAAATGTTACTCCCATAAATAAAATAATTTTAAGTGCTCTGAGCTGATACTCCAGCCAGTGGACATTCTTGTGTCTGACAAAGGCTATGATATTGTCCAAAGTGGCTTAGTTTGCAAAGAGGGTAGGGAGAGGCAGGGTATGGAGTTAGGGGGTTTTTGTTTGGTTGGTTGGTGGGTGGGTGGGTGGGTGGGTGGGTTGGTTGGTGGGTGGGTTGGTTGGTAGGTGGGTGGGTGGGTTGGTTGGTTGGATTGGTTAGTAGGTTGGTTGGTTGGTGGGTGGGTTGGTGGGTTGGTTGGTTGGTTGGTGGGTTGGTTGGTGGGTTGTTTGGTTGGTTGGTGGGTTAGTTGGTGGGTTGTTTGGTTGGTTGGTGGGTTGGTTGGTGGGTTGGTTGTTTGGTTGGTTGTTTGGTTGGTTGTTTGGTTGTTTGGTTGGTGGGTGGGTTGTTTGGTTGGGTGTTTGGTTGGTTGGTGGGTGGGTTGGTTGGTTGGTTGGGTTGGGTTTTACAGTTAAGGTACTTGAGATGAGCGTGACAAAGGACTGAGTGACTCAGTTTGCTCAATGGCAGGTGAGCAGGAATCATAAAGAAAATAAAGGGATTGGGATCCGTCCCTGGTGCATGGGCAGGCTTTGGGGAGTCCGGTGCCTGCGGTGTGACGCCTTGCGCAGCCTTGGTGCAGTGGGGAGGGGCTTGGACCTGCCTAGGCTCAGTGTGCTGGACTCTGCTGACTCCCGGTGGGAAACCTTGATTTGGGGGATGTGGGGATTTGGGGTGGCTTGGGAGGGAGGACTGGAGGGAGGGAGGAGGGAGAAGGTGGGATCTGTGGGTGGTATGTAGAGTGAGTAGAAATTTTCTTAATAAAGAAAAATGAAAAAAGGAAAATAAGAGGATGTTGTTAACCCTGATTTTCCTTTCTTGACAACTTCAATGAAGGTAACAGGTCTTGGAACATAAAAATCTTACAACCATTCAAGCTGAAACAGCCATACACATTACTGAAGACCCAAGGCAGCCCATGTCTGTCTTTCAACACAAGACCTAGGAAGTGACACCAGACAACCCAAAGGTGACAGCTGTAGTTTAGGCGAGGTGAGTGGTGTCCTGGGAGCGTCTAATCAAACAATCACAGAAAAGTTTCAAAACAGTAAGCCATAAAATCAAATGACTCAAACTAGGTAATAAACGAGAAGGCACGTCTGTGAAATGCCCGGCACTCTACAGTGTGCCTGATATACATTTTGTCCTCCTTCACTGGTGAAAGAAGCTGGGGCTCAAAACTTTTGTGTGGCATTCCCATAGGACTACAAATCCTCTTCTCTTTCCACCATCACCCATTTCCCAGAGATGAGAACAGAACCGCCATACTAAAACAGAAGGCAGTAGAGTGACATGGAAAACCAACTCTAAATGATGTTGAGTGGAAATATCACACAAGTCACATGGGTCACAGCCATGTGTGTTTTACAACACATATGGCAAAGCCTGTAAGGAAGCGTGGAAAACTCTTGAACATGGAGTTGGGTTAGAGCAGTAGGATGACAGCAGAGTCTAAAACTCCTATTTATGTTGTTGTGAACTTAGATACCTACACATCTCTAATATTTAAATGGTTAGGGAAAGGTATTCAACACCATCAGAGAAACATCTAGGAATATGGATAAGAGGAATTTTCATTATTGTCTAAGAAAAAAAAAGGATCTCATGCTGGCCATGAGGAAAAAGAAGTTACTAGATCAATGACAACTGAGAACGTTCAAAGACATGTGCCAAGGGACTTGTGCAAGCCAGGCTACTGTTAGGCAATGTGGGAGCAGCTGGAGGGAAGGGTAGCTGAGATATCTCAATTTTGCAACTTGAAAATAACGTGTGGTACGAAGCATGTGTACAAGGGACTTTATTGTAACTGCTGTGTGGAGCAGGGTTGGAGGGAAGGAGAGGGCAGGGCAGGCTGACTGGGAGCTCCTGGGGGTGGAGCCCCAGCTTCCCTGAGCACTAGAACACAGCTCTCTAAGGCAGGCCACAGGAGAGTCTCAGGTAAATGCACTTGCTGTCCAGGTGTTCCTTCTTTAAAATAAAGATGGACTAGCCTTGATCACAGTGAGCCCAGGAGGCTTTGTCCACATCATTCCAAGGTGAGCATGTGCACAGAGGTCCACAGGAGGAAAACAACACTAAGAGAGAACATCTGAACAGGTCTTTCCCCTGACGGTGAGAATCCCAGGCAGGTTTGGATGTCTCTGGTGGGTGGGCACCCATGCCACACCCCTAAACAGAGACGGTGAAATGTCCTGACTTGCATGTCATTAGTCACCAACTGACAAGCCAAGCGCAGAGTAGAAGGGCAAATGTGGGTCTGCTGGGATGATGGACAAGCTGTCAGAGGTAATGCGGACATGCCTCCTTACGTACGTAATGGTTTGAAGCAACAGCTGGTTTGGGGCCACACAATACGCAGACTGTGCATCGCTTTTGTGTGACTTCAACAGTGGACCCGGCACATATTTCAGGGAGACAGAATCTAGTTCTAATTATGGAAATGACTGCGCTGATCAAATTACCCACAGCATGTCTTGCATTACACCGAAGAAACAATTCTAATAAGGAGCTTTGATTTGATGATTAAAAATTTGCCAGCCATCTCGGTAGGCCTTTGAAGAAGTGGAAAGTGCAACCAATGGTAAAGGACAGACAAGGGCAGTGGGAAGAGGCTTACCCTTCATACACTGCAGCTGCGGCTGTGGGTTCACCTTAATTACCACCGCTCGGCTTAAAAAATAGCAATCGTGGCCGGGCGGTGGTGGCGCACGCCTTTAATCCCAGCACTCGGGAGGCAGAGCCAGGCGGATCTCTGTGAGTTCGAGGCCAGCCTGGGCTACCAAGTGAGTTCCAGGAAAAGGCGCAAAGCTACACAGAGAAACCCTGTCTCGAAAAAACCAAAAAAAAAAAAAAAAAATAGCAATCGTGAAGAAAAGGAGCTATAGTTCTCTATAAACTCTGAACAAAAATACTGGGTTTTTAAAATTATTCTTTTTATAAGTAGACCTACTGCATACCAAAACTGTATCATATTTGCTAGATTTTTGAATAAATATGTTCCTCAATTATAAAGGATTCGGGGCTGGCACAGTGGCACACGCCTATAATCCCAGCACTTGGGAGGTGGAGGCAGGAAGATCTGGAGTTCAAGGCCATCCTGGAGTATGCCATCCTGATGTTGATCATCTCATTGACTGTGCGCTAGTCTCTAAAAATAACAATTAGAGACTTACATCTTCACCTTTGCCTTGCTCCTGTGTGCAGGAAGAGGGGTGACTTCCTCCTGAGGGAAGACGTGAGGAGGGCGGTTAATAAAGCATCAGGGGGAGAAGACCCCAAACCTGCTGGAGGCAGAAATTC